TGGATAACCCGCAAAAGTTCATTTTCAGCAGGATATCTCTCTCTCCATTGCCTTCTCAGTTCAGCAGAGTTAAAGGCGCGTAAGATACAACTCCGCTTAGCGGCTTAGCGGAGCAGAAGATGGATCTGCCATCGATGACTGCTGGTTTCCATCCCATTCTTGATAGTCCTTTCGTTGATCACAGTACGCCCCATCATTGTTGCTTCTATCTCCCATGTTTCAAAAATCAACCCATTGGACAATGAAAGATCCCTATCTCATACTATATTTATTCAGAACTTTAGCCGCTAAAATCGTCAAATCCTCATTTTCTTGCAGGGTTAAGTTTCCATTTTGGTCAAATCATGTTAAAACATGTAAAATGATCATGTAAAATGATGACTATATAATTATATATATATATATATATTGCAGTAAACTCCATGTAAAATCATGTTAAGTCATGTAAAATCCCTATTTCTGTGCCCAGAACCTCCGGCGTTCTGCCAGGGAGCCGTGGATGATCCGTGAGGCTCCAAGGAATTTCATAGCTCCGCACGGGGAAACGAGGCGGCACCGCACCTAGCCCCGGGGAATCAGTGGTGGATGATCAACATCTGCTGAACCGTTTACCCGTCGGCTTCAAAAACAAAAAGCCGAGCCATAGGATATATAGCTGGCTATATCTGGCTATATCTGGATCATTTTTTTGGGGTGAATTTGGGATGAATCAATGTGCCCACCAGGATGGAATGCGACAGTATCAAGTCGTACATCAGGAAACCAGGAAGCAAAGAAATAGACAGTAGAAACATGTAGAAGCATCCCCTGGGCACTATATATACAGTGCGAATGTAGACTCGCCGGCGAAAGCTGCTTGGCTGTTTCAGCCCCATTGGCACAAGGCAGGTCAAGTTGAACAGCTCGAACATCAGCAATATGTCAGCGTCCAAACGAGCACACATTATACCATAACTTATACCATAACTTATCAGATATCCATTTTCCGAATTAGAATCATTAGAAAGTTGATATCTGATAAGTTATGGTATAATGATAACATATGATAACCTACCGAAGTATACTTCAACATTTTGGGGAATGATGACATGAATGATTCAACCTACCGACCTTGCCCTGGGGTAAACGTTTACAGGACATGATGTGGAGAACCCATGGTAGTAACTTTCCGGCAGGACATGATCGAACCAAAATGGTGGATTTTACACATCGAACTGTTGGTTTTCAGGAGGGTATATCCATGAATACCAATAATCGGATAGATTCAATATGGAATACCCCATTCATTATCACGATTATTATCCCTTTATTAAAATACAGTAAGCCGGCCATATATCCCGATGTTTCTTGTGGCACCTCTTGCGGCCAGCAATTCCTCACGTCGCCCGGCCAGTCGCTCACGTTGAGGCAGTGCTGGCTCGAAGAAATCGCCTTGAAAGGCGGTGGGATATATGAACAACATCTGGTACCAAATACATCAATATCATCAAAATACATTTTTTTTTACCAGGATGTTTTATGACTTTAGGACAACTTGATAATCATAAAACATAATACCAGATAATACATCATGTGAAACATGTTTTACCAAGGGGGTTAGGACAGGATTCTCCGGTGCCAAGTGATCCAAGTGGCAGCCGCTGTAGTCGATGGGCAGCACAGCTAAAAGCTGAATGGCCTGGTGAAAAAAAATCAGTGCACCAGGTATGGTGAAACGTGGAGATTCCCCAAGGAGACCTGAGTCTAACTGTGGTTCTTGATGCTTACTATATATTCATGCTTATTGATGGTTATATTGATGCTTATTGATGGCTACATTGATGGTTATTGATGATTATTGATGGTTATTGACCTATTGATGATGATTGATGGTTATTCATGGATATATTGATTGGATATGGATGCTTATTCATGGTTATATTGGATGATGATATTGATGGTTATTGGTTCAGTATTGGCATGGTTCAAGTTGAACGGACCCAGGCCTCTTCGAAGGAACCACATTGCAGAAATCGCGACCTGAGTAGTTTCGAGGTCCAAGCCGGTTGGGGAGGATGTGGCGGGTTATTTAACACCTGGAAAAACATGCAATGTTTTTCCTTATATATATATACATACTGTGTATATATATATATATATATTATAAATATAAATGTAACACACACACATATAATCACATATATATATATATATAGTGACGGACAATCACTTAGAACGTATTTTGGAAAAAAAATTCTGAATATTACTGTTTTTTTTTACGTTCTAAGCCTTGCACTTAGAACGTCGAAAACCATACACTTAGAACGTCCAAATATCAAGATTCATCACTTAGAACGTACCGGGGATTTAACACTTAGAACGTGTCTAGGTCACTGATGATAGTGGAAAGGCTTGTGAAATCTTTTATCTCTAAGTGTTGGATCCAGCAGCTAATTCCGTAGGAAGCATAGACATAATTTCGTACCATTTGGCTTTTCCCTCCCATATGATGTGCAAATATTGGCGATCTTTTATCTCTGGAACACTATACCTTTTGGTGCTTTTTGGGGGTTCTGAGTTCTGATGTTCTAAGTGTTGGACTCAGCAGCTAATGCCGTAGGAAACATAGACATAATTTCGTACCATTTGGCTTTTCCCTCCTATATGATTTGCAAACATTGGCGATCTTTTATCTCTGGAACACTATACCTTTTGGATCCTTTTGTTGCTTTTTGGGGGTTCTGTCGTTCTAAGTGTTGGATTCAGGAACTAAGTCCGTAGGAAACATAGACATAATTTCGTGCCATTTGGCTTTTCCCTCCCATATGATTTGCAAATATTGGCGATCTTTTATTTCTGGAACACTATACCTTTTGGATCCTTTTGGTGCTTTTTGGGGGTTCGGACGTTCTAAGTGTTGGATTCAGCAGCTAATTCCGTAGGAAACATAGACATAATTTCGTACCATTTGGCTTTTCCCTCCCATATGATTTGCAAATATTGGCGATCTTTTATCTCTGGAACACTCTACCTTTTGGATCCTTTTGGTGCTTTTTGGGGATTCTGACGTTCTAAGTGTTGGATTCAGCAGCTAATTCCGTAGGAAACATAGACATAATTTCGTACCATTTGGCTTTTCCCTCCCATATGATTTGCAAATATTGGCGATCTTTACCTCTTGAACACTATACCTTTTGGTGCTTTTTGGTGGTTCTGACGTTCTAAGTGTTGGATTCAGCAGCTAATTCCGTAGGAAACATAGACATAATTTCGTACCATTTGGCTTTTCCCTCCATATGATTTGCAAACATTGGCGATCTTTTATCTCTGAAACACTATACCTTTTGGTGCTTTTGGGGGTTCTGACGTTCTAAGTGTTGGATTCAGCAGCTAATTCCGTAGGAAACATAGACATAATTTCGTACCATTTGGCTTTTCCCTCCCTATGATTTGCCAATCTTGGCGGTCTTTAGCTCTTGGAACACTCTACCTTTTGGTGCTTCTTGGGGTTCTGACGTTCTAAGTGGTGGATTCAGCAGCTAATTCCGTAGGAAACATAGACATAATTTCGTACCATTTAGCTTTTCCCTCCTATATGATTTGAAATTGGCGATCTTTTATCTCTGGAACACTTTCCCCCATATGTTAATTGACCTTTTTTATCTCTGGAACCTATACCTTTGGATCTTTTGGTGCTTTTGGGGGTTCTGACGTTCTAAGTGTTGGATTCAGCAGCTAATTCCGTAGGAAACATAGACATAATTTCGTACCATTTGGCTTTTCTGTCCCATATGTTTTGCAAATATTGGCGTTCTTTATCTCTTGAACACTATGCATTTTGGTGCTTTTTGGTGGTTCTGACGTTCTAAGTGTTGGATTCAGCAGCTAATTCCGTAGGAAACATAGACATAATTTCGTACCATTTGGCTTTTCCCTCCCATATGATTTGACATTGGCGATCTTTTATCTCTGGAACACTCTACCTTTTGGATCCTTTTGTTGCTTTTTGGGGGTTCTGACGTTCTAAGTGTTGGATTCAGCAGCTAATTCCGTAGGAAACATAAACATAATTTGGTACCATTTGGCTTTTCCCTCCCATATGATTTGCAAATATTGAATTGGCGATCTTTACCTCTTGAACACTATACCTTTTGGTGCTTTTTGGTGGTTCTGACGTTCTAAGTGTTGGATTCAGCAGCTAATTCCGTAGGAAACATAGACATAATTTCGTACCATTTGGCTTCTCCCTCCTATATGATTTGCAAACATTGGCGATCTTTTATCTCTGAAACACTCTACCTTTTGGTGCTTTTGGGGGTTCTGACGTTCTAAGTGTTGGATTCAGCAGCTAATTCCGTAGGAAACGTAGACATAATTTCGTACCATTTGGCTTTTCCCTCCCATATGATTTGCAAATATTGGCGATCTTTTATCCCTGGAACACTATACCTTTTGGTGCTTTTTGGGGGGTCTGACATTCTAAGCCGTAAGAAACATAGACATAATTTCGTACCATTTGGCTTTTCCCTCCCATATGATGTGCAAATATTGGCGATCTTTTATCTCTGGAACACTACCTTTTGGTGCTTTTTGGGGGTTCTGACGTTCTAAGTGTTGGATTCAGCAGCTAATTCCGTAGGAAACATAGACATAATTTCGTACCATTTGGCTTTTCCCTCCCATATGATTTGCAAATCTTGGCGATCTTTTATCTCTGGAACACTATACCTTTTGGATCCTTTTGGTGCTTTTTGGGGGTTCTGACGTTCTAAGTGTTGGATTCAGCAGCTAATTCTGTAGGAAACATAGACATAATTTCGTACCATTGGCTTTTCCCTCCCATATGATTTGCAAATATTGGCGATCTTTTATCTCTGGAACGCTATACCTTTTGGATCCTTTTGGTGCTTTTTGGGGGTTCTGACGTTCTAAGTGTTGGATTCAGCAGCTAATTCCGTAGGAAACATAGACATAATTTCGTACCATTTGGCTTTTCCCTCCCATATGATTTGCAAATCTTGGCGGTCTTTACCTCTGGAACACTATACCTTTTGGTGCTTTTTGGTGGTTCTGACGTTCTAAGTGTTGGATTCAGCAGCTAATTCCGTAGGAAACACAGACATAATTTCGTACCATTTGGCTTTTCCCTCCTATATGATTTGCAAACATTGGCGATCTTTTATCTCTGGAACACTCTACCTTTTGGATCCTTTTGGTGCTTTTTGGGGGTTCTGTCGTTCTAAGTGTTGGATTCAGCAGCTAATTCCGTAGGAAACATAGACATAATTTCGTACCATTTGGCTTTTCCCTCCCATATGATTTGACATTGGCGATCTTTTATCTCTGGAACACTCTACCTTTTGGATCCTTTTGGTGCTTTTTGGGGGTTCTGACGTTCTAAGTGTTGGATTCAGCAGCTAATTCCGAGGAAACATAGACATAATTTCGTACCATTTGGCTTTTCCCTCCCATATGATTTGCAAATATTGGTGATCTTTTATCTCTGGAACACTATACCTTTTGGTGCTTTTTAGGGGTTCTGACGTTCTAAGTGTTGGATTCAGCAGCTAATTCCGTATAGGAAACCTAGACATAATTTCGATTCCACTTCGAATTCCAATTTTCTGCAATATTTTAATTGCGTTATAAAAGGAAATTCAATTGATTTCGAAAGCGAAAAAACTAGTCTTTTTATTAAGGGTTTAAATTTATTATTAGGATCCGCTTCGAAATCCAATTTTTGGCAATATTTTAATTGTGTTATAAGGAAATTTACCTGATTTTGAAATCGAAAAAAACGGTTTTTCTTATTAAGGGTTTAAATTTATTATTTAGGTCCGCATCGAAATCCAATTTGTGGCAATATTTCAATTGCGCTATATAAGGAAATTTAATTGGTTTTGAATCGAAAAAAATAGTTTTGTTTTATTAAGGGTTTAAATTTATTAGGGTCCGCTTCGAACTCTAGTGTTTGGCAATAGTCTTATTGCGTTATAAAAGGAAATTTAATTGATTTTGAATCGAAAAAACTAGTCTTTTTATTAAGGGTTTAAATTTATTATTAGGATTCGCTTCGAAATCCAATTTTTGGCAATATTTTAATTGCGTTATATAAGGAAATTTAATTGATTTTGAAGTCGAAAAAAATAGCCGCTTTATTAAGGGTCTAAATTTATTATTAGGGTCCGCTTCGAAATCCAATTTTTGGCAATATGTTTAATTGCGCTATATAAGGAAATTTAATTGATTTTGAAATCGAAAAAATAGTTTATATAGCGACGGACAATCACTTAGCACGTTCTAAGTGTTGGTTTACGTTCTAAGTGATAAATGGGCCTAAGTGATATTTTGACGTTCTAAGTGATGAATTTTCCCTACGTTCTAAGTGATTAAATTTTGCTACGTTCTAAGTACGAAAAAAAAATGGAAAAAAATTACGTTCTAAGTGATTGTCCGTCACTATATATATTAAAAATAAAAATGAAACACACACACGCATATATATATATATACATACATATATTATATTATTAAATCAACTGGCAGTGGGCAATATATAATGTAAAGTGTACTGAACGGTATGAAAACCCTCTCAAAGCAAACAACAATTCCCGGCTCCAAAATGTGGTGGTTGACCTCAAGTAACCACGGGGCTTGAGTAAGCTGTGGTTGGTTTGTTGTTTGGGACATGACTTTCTGGCTGGATTTCCATTGTTAATAATGGTTAGTAATGGTTAATAATGAACTGGTTGGTGGTTGACCTACCCATCTGAAAAATATGAGTTCGTCAGTTGGGATGATGACATTCCCAATATATAGAAAAATAAAAACTGTTCCAAACCACCAACCAGTTAATGGGGAGATAAGAAGCCAAGAACCAACCGAAGGAACGCAATTTTCTCAAACTCTCGAAGAAGATCAATGGAAGTTCTGTGCAGTCCAACTCAAGAAGTCTTGGACATTCCTGCAAGCCCCTCATGAAACTATATAAATTTCTGTATGTTCCTCCAAACGGTGGGACATATCCTGCACCTTTCTTGTTTGCAACAGGTAAGCCCGAACAAAAATGAAGTTGGAACAGCTAAACCTAAGGCAATTGCCCATGGCACAATGTCGCATTGGGGCTCAATAATTTTTTCGGGGCCTCTACAGTACTGAAAGAACTATGATCTTGGACCCCTCAAAAAAACGTATCCTGCATATCCTGCAGTAATCACACATGGCTTGTGGTTTTCACCACCTAATTATGTAGTTCGATGACTTTCCCGGCTATAAACCTCATTAAACTTCCACATATATGATATATGGGATGTCCAATGGCCATATTCGCATACCAGAGGGTATCTGACTGGGAGACTTGAAATAACTTGAACTCATCTCAGCGTGAAATGTGCGGAAAACCGTCCATCTGCCCCGAAGAGAAGGTTCGATGAGTGGGAAACTGACACATCCCCATCTCTCGAATGAGGGGTTGCTGCCATGTACTGTACCACTTACCCATTGATTAAAAAAATGATAGTGGGCGCCCCTCATTCATTCACAAACCCTTGGGACAAGGACATGTACAGTGCGTTTTGGCTCCCTCCATTGGCTTCTCAAGGAGGCGAATAACTTGTGAGCTACATTGCTAGATGGCTTTTAGGAAGGGTTTTTAACCACCTACGGTACAAACGGGACGCATCGACCCCTCAATCCCCTGCATCCACAGGCACTTCTCAGCCTTTAAGAGCAATAAGGACACGTTGTGCAAGCCATCCATGCCTGCTCGGCGCCAGCTTTCGCCCGGCTGATATTCCGAAGAAAGGACTGTACTAAGATCATCGATCCTGGACGAATCAGATTCCCTTCGTACCGAGGACCGAGGATGCCCATCCGGTTTCGCCCAACACGGGCCTTGAAGAAAGATGGAGTCCATTAATCCTCGAGGGACTCAGGACTGGTGAGTAGCTCTCCAATATGAAACGCGTGGGATGATGGTGATGATGATGATGATGATGTTCTGATGTTCTGATGTTCTGATGTTCCGATGTTTTGATGTTTTGATGGATTGGCGTATTGATATCTGAAGACAGAAATACAATGAAATACAGAGAAATAAAGAGGTTCCCACAGAACAGAAGGGTCAGCTTGGCGTTGCTGTTTCAATCGTGCATTCATGGTCTATCTTTCATTTGGATCACGTTCGTTCCCTACATGTTTGTCCGCACAGCGATGCGCAAACATGCGCGAACAAGTAACCCAGGGTATTCCAAAGAAGTACAGCAAGTGCTGAATTATCATACACTTACTGAAAGTATCATAAAGTGAGGTTGCAACTGGGACCTCTAGAATCTCTAGAATTATTCGCTCGTGGATATTGCCATCATATGGGCCATCATTCCATCAATTTCAAAGGAAACGTGTCCAACACGTTTCTATGGGGCTCCTTTCTATCAACTTATTATTGTCATGGCTTTCAACCACCATCATCCCAGAAAACTCGAAATGACCGAAACACAACAGCCATCCCATATTCAAAAAGGGGACCATCCGAAAAAAATGGCTACCTGCACAGTCCGAACACAACATATTGCAAGACTTCTTTTGACTTACTGGTGCTAAACGTAGGGAATGGATGGGACTGGGGGTTGCTGGGATGATTCTTATAATAGTGATGACTGGGATCATTCCCGAAAATTCCCTGCGTAAAACGCACCAGTAAGTCATTGTCAGATCATTTCCCTATTGTTTTCCTATGATTTTCCTATGATTTTCCTATGGTTTTCCTGTGATTTTCCTATGGTTTCCGAGGAATTTTGATATCTTTTGATATCTTTTGAGATACCTTCCGCTAATCAGCTCCATGGAGGCTGGAAAAACATCTTACCGGAGGGATTGATGGAGCTCCAGATGGATCACCCATACAAAAGAACCTTACACAAAAACACAAAACAAACCGCAAGTATCAAACCAGTTATGGCCAATTATGGATTATCAATGATTATCATGGGTTATCATGGATTATCATGGATGATCACTTTGCATATAGGACACATCTTCATTTTCGTGCAGGAAACACCGAACAGCCGTTTGAAACTCTACCAAGTAGCGAAGTTTCAAGTCGTGCGGCGCCTGACCAAACTTTGGGCTTACGGGCTATTCTCGGAAGAAGCAAAAAAAAGTGGCACCAAAGGGCTGGGAAACCCACGAACCAAAAGGCGGACTTAATCAGACATCCTCGGAAAGACGTAGGAAACACATGGGAATGTCTTCCATAAATGGAGATGTTCATGGGAAAATCGTCTATAAATGATGCATTTTCTAGCAAACCACGTTTGATTCCCACAGAAAAAAAACTGGATAGGACAACCTATCCTCCTCACCAGAGCTGCAATGATTTGCGGCACATCCAAGTAGGGGCAGGCAAAAACTCATAAAAACTCTAGCCTTGAGATGCCTTGAGGCTTGTTCGGTTTCACCGGCAAATACCATATGATAATATATGATAATACGTTTATCAAAAATAGCAATGGAACATAATGGAACAAAGGTCCATCGTAGATACTATATAACAATCAAATAATGTTCCTTTATATAATGTTCCTTTAAAAAAGGACCCGCTAAATACAATGTATAACATGTATAACATTTAGAATGCTGATTTTCACTCGCCAGGCTTGCTTTCATGAGGCGTATCAGCCCCGTGTGTAGGTGAACCGTCACTATTGGATGCCTGTACCTGTACGCATGCATATATGGTTCATAAAAATCAAACGGAAGAATAAACTGAGAAGCTACACCATTTTGATCCTGTATAGCTATAGGTTGTAAAAGTGGCAACGGTGGCCACAACCTGTCCAATCTATTCAAAGAAATGTAGTGACTTGATTTTTTTTTAACATAGTAATTAGGTTATAAAATCATCACAAGAAAGTAATGGCCCGCAATATTTGACATTCTAGTATATTTGATTGAAGTACTTCTCCAAAGTCCCACGAGATTTAAAATTCGTGAATGGATTGTGGCTCTTGAGGGAGCAAAGCCTCCTGGCTCAGCCCAAAACACCGCCTCAAGGCACATAAAGAAGCTCTTGAACCAGCTCACTAAAACAAGCTCCATTCCAACTTGCCTTGGCAGTCATGTAGGAACTTGACATGAAATCATGAAAGCATATGAAAATAACTGTTACCATGTGGAGGTTTCCATACATGGTGGTACCCCCAAATGGATGGTTTACAATGGAAAATCCCAATCCAAAATGGATGATTTGAGGGTACCACCATTTTTAGGAAACCATAATGAAAATCATGGTATCGGATGATCCATCCAAGTTTTGAAGTTTACTGCCGTCAAGCGGCAAGTCGGCCAAGTGCGCAGCAAGTTGTGGACAGCTGCAGTTCAAAAGCTCCTGAAATAGCTCCTGATGGGTGCTGGCAGGCTCACCGCATCTAAGTGACGAATCTTTTGGGCACGGCGGCATGATTCTGAAACACGAGGGCATGACTTCCACATAAACCAGGCTTGGTCTGATATATGGTGGGGGCACCATGCTTTGGCACGCAAGTTTGGTCATACATGAGCAATGCTTTGGTCTCCCAAGTTTCGATGCTTCACCAAGCGGAACAAAGTCAGGCACTTGAGCAATGTTCAAAAATGTGAACAAAATCCCTCTATCATTCCATTCTGATGGTTGATTCTATATGGATTCCCCATGATTTCCCTATTACTAGTAGTTTAATCCCCGATATATGAAGGGTAGTATAATCATGTATAATTAATCAACCAAGAGGGGTGGATCGCAGCCACTGAGGCCGGGTGAGGCAGTCCAGTTCCACTCCAAAGCTGTAGTCATGGTCTCCACAGCTGTAGAACTCGGCTGGAAGCATCTTCTCCTTGGATTCGCGATTCGAACAAAAGTTCACAGCCACCATCGATGTAAAACAGCTTCACAGTACCAAAAATAAATATATACCAAACTCTTGAGATAACATAAACATACATAAACGATCATAAACGACTTGTTTGTCTGTAATTGCAGGACCAGTCCAGTCTGATATATTTGCTCATTCTCTGATTGGTGGTTTCGACTTCGGCCGAAGGGCGATGATGGAGCATAGACACCAAAATGCATCCTCTGCCTCCATCACAGCTAGCAGCACTCCCGCAATGAAATGCATGCCGCTCTCGTAGCCTGACGAGAGAAATTCTGGATGAGATATTCACCTGTCGTTTTTTTTTCGTCATTGCCAAGACAGGTGCTTGTAAATTCAAGAATCCAAATTCGATACGGTACGGGGCATATATGGAATTATATGAGCATATGGATATCTAAATGCTACCTTTGAAACTTTGTGGCCGAAACTCGGCCCCAATATGAGTGGCGCAGGAATCTGCATAGCTCAGGACAGCCCCTGCCGGCTTCACTTCCGGTTGCCGCTTTGCCTATGTCTGGGCAGCGTTGCGCATAGGCGAGCAGTACTGAATACTTCTTCCTGCAGTACCTGACCAGGAGATCCAGGGTCCAGGGGTGGCATCAATAGTATTACCCTCTGGTTATGACTGACATAGCCATGGAAAATCACCATTTTTAATAGGTAAACCGGTAAACCATCTATAAATGGGCCATCTATACCATGGCTATGTTAGTCATAACCAGAGGGTAATAGAGGAAGGAAAATTGACGTGGTTACTACTGAGCCTCGGCGATAATCTGATACCTGTACTGGATTTGCCAGTCCCTAGCCATGAATAGAAGGATTAGCCAAAGATGTGTGTTGCTAGTAAATCCATCAGGCACACGGAGTACTTTGGCCTGATCTAGCATGGACCTGATAAAATAAATCACATATAGATGGAACCACTGAAGAAACTGCCAGGATAGAGACCTGCGAGAATTGACTTTTTGTAGTCGATGCTCACAGGGAGTGCGCATATCCTATGTTTCTCCACCCACTCATCCATCATCAAACTATCTGAGAACTTTGCTTTGTTGATTTACCTATTGACCCCGCGAAACACCAAAGATACAGCAACATGTTGTCTCTTTGGACTGGAGATGACTTACCCGTCGAAAATCGGGATCTTCCATCATTTCCATCAAGCTCGCAGTAAGGTTTGATTTCCAACTGGGAGAAGAATCACCAATATACGTTTTGCTAAAGGATGTACAAAATTGGGTTCTGAATGTGTCTACCTCTCTCTCTCTCGCCCAGCTCTCAGATGCATATATAGAAAAATGCAGCACACCTTTTTACCTTGGGATTATATATATATATACACAATACATTCATGAACAGCCTATAGACAGGTTTGTCTGAAAACAGGTAAGAGATAGAGTCAGAGAGAGAGTCAGGGGCTTGATCATCATTTTCCCACTAAAATTGTGGATCTCAATTAGCTGAGTTTAGGTGGCCTTGGTGGCCTTGGTGGGTTTGGTAACATCATGTGAAATATGGGTTTGATAAATCGCAAGTTATCCTCTGGTTATATCAAAATAGCTATTGAACATTGCCATAGAAATAGTTGATTTTCCCATTAAACATGGTGGATCGTTCCATAGTTAGGTAAACGTTTACCAGAGGGTATCAAACTACACCATCAAAACCATATATTCCTCAACCATCCTCGACCTCTATGGCCCGAGAACTTGGATCACCTCGATCCAAGCTGCTCCGCCCGAGCTTGTCCGAAGCAATGTGGGAAAACGCGGTCAAATCCTGGACATCCGTATGGCTTTGTGGAACTTCGGGGGGTGTATCCGTGAATAGATACCTTCCAACTAACATAACTATGGCACATCACCATATTTTATGGGTAAATCAACTATTTCGACTGGGCCATGGCTTCAATAGCTTTTTGTAAACGTTTACCAGGCCGGGTACCTTCCGGTAATCCATGGCTGGGAAATCCGAATACAGATCCCAACTGGAGGTTTATTGCTAACATCGATGGGGGGGATCCCCAAAGCCATGACCGGAGGGTAGCAATGTTTTTATAGCATAGTTTGCATCCATTTTCTCAAAAAATACCCTCTGGTAAACTAACATAGCTATTGAAAATGGCCATAGAAATAGTGGGTTTACCCATTGAAAATGGTGACTTTCCATAGTTATGTAAACGTTTACCAGAGGGTATCATGGTGAGTAAGTATCCGTGATGAACCCTTTATGGTTTGCCCGTGAACATAACGCGGCAAACCAAGCATCCCCTGGAGGTAGAAAGGCGCGCTGCATTGCACTCACCATGCAAAGTCACTTACATATGCAATAAATACGCGCACATACAATTGCTACACTATAAATATATATATATATAATACAAATAATAATAATAAGAATAATAAGAAGAAGAATAATAATATATAATATAATTCAATAAAACATAATATAATATGTGTATATATAATTAAATAAATAATTATATATAACTAGCTTTAATTAAATATAATTCTATATAATTATGTATAGTTTAAGAAACATAATATATAATGCATATATATACATATATATATATATATTTAATATACTATATATATACCAACATCCAAAACCATAGGAAACTACAATCCCACTGTGGGAATTACCACACATAGCAATGGCCCCCATGGCCCTTCTGGGCACCTTCTGGATGCAGGCTTCCGCAAAGATCACACGGTCATCGTCCAAGGGCAGATTCAGGAGATGTTGGAAGAGATCCTGCGGGATCCGCGGATTTTATCACCTACATGTTACAATATATATCTCATACATTACATATCCCATCATATAATATATATATATATATATATTTAATTATACTTGTATAACTATATATATATATAATTCATTGCATGTCACATTATATGTATATATATATATATATGTACACATGCTTACACAACTGTGTTATATGGTTATATTCCACTGAATCGATTCCTGGGATGCACATCCCGAGTGTCAGAATGCGCCTGACCATGTCCGCACCCTTGATACCAGCCATATCAGCGTGAACCAGGAGAGAAGAGTGTATAGTTACGCTTAGTATGCGAGAGAAAAGGGAGAGCCAAACGGAGAGAGATACATTTGCGGCGTGTGCATATATATGACAATTGTATACATATACGTAAAAACTACCGGTGTAGTATGGTTTACATATGTAAACATTGCGGCATGCAACAGCATGCATGTATTAAAAATCCTGGCTACGGGACGTTGTGGACCAGCCCTTTGGTGTGCCGTGGTTTCTAAGGGTCTGAAGGGGGCTCCAGAGATGATCGCTGATAAAGCCTGAGCTTTTAGCTTTCCATAAAGGCATCGATAAAATTCAAAATTAAGAAAATGTCAATGAGCTTTATGGAAAGTAAAAGCCTGGACTTGTTATTTTCTTATTTAACATTGATGGAATTATAGATGTCTTAGCTAAAAATAAGGAAATGACAAGTCCAGGCAAAGCATTTTTCCCCTAAGGTACAAGGCACACAAAACACAAAGGCTCAAATATTCAACCAGAATGCAAGTAGCATGAAATGAAGAAGACCACCAAAGATACTTTTTATATATTGACTTCATCAAACCACCTTGCAGCATGCCAAGAAAATATATTTGCTTGATTGATCTTAATTGCATACGTAGTCTGAAAAAAAAGGAGCCTGCAATGTACATCATATACCTTCAATATTGGTATTCTTAATGTACTTGACTTTCATTCAAAATATTCAGAGTGTAGACACTTTATTCAAGCTTTGGGCAACTGGTGGTTAGTCTCATGTCAAGTAGATGTAAAGTAGTGCTATCATGTCTCCTATTTTAATGTTTGATTTGTGGCAATGCATGGCAAGGTGCCAAGATTGTTTCTGGTGATGAATTGCAGCCATCACTCAGAATTATAATTTCCAAGGGTAGCTACAACCACCTTTACTACTAGCTCAGCAACGTAGAATTCTACTTTAAAATGCCTAAACATCCAGCCTTTTCATGCCTCATTTGACTTAGGCCTGCTCATGACTTGGAAAAGTTTTTCTATTTCAAGTGCATTAGCCACTGGCCTCCATTCAATGTGAATAATTATGTGTTTGATCAGCGCAATTATTCATGGATGTTGCTATGTACATTATCTTTCAAACTGCTTTCCATACTACCTAGAAGGGCAACTGCATACCTGCATACCTCAACATTCTGCAAAGGAATTCTCTATCATTCGCATGCGTGATGTGAACATAGTGATTGTGTGCACTATCTGAGCGGGCTCTCTGTTTGTACTGATTGCATTGGATATTCCAAGCCCCCTGTTTGGCTTGCACTCCCAGTTTGCTAGGGAAAATCAGCACCAGGAGGTAGCAATCAATTATATATAGTTCACCAGAATGATTTCATTGACAAAAGCCTGGCTATACTACAGGAGAACCCGACTTGTTTTTTTTGTATTTCAGGGAACAGTTGTTTAGAATGTGTGTGTGTGTGAAACCCGTTATAACATACGGATATTTTACAATTTCGTACAACGAAGCAAGGAAGACAATATGTGGCGACAATAAGAACTGAATTTTAATTCAGACATGCAGGGGGCTGGAGTGTGAATCAGAAGTCTCCAGCCAACGAAGACGCTTCTGATGTCACAGTGATATCAACCTGGGACGCTGGGTTGACGTACCTGCAATGTTGGTTCGAACTTTTGCACAAGCTGTTCTATTACCTTGTTTTTGAGTCCTTTGGCAAGAATCGATTGACCGAATTTCACCGATTGCAACCGTGCCCCATCGAAGGTTACTTAGGAAATCAGGCGACGGCAAGTTCTACATTCATCATCATCAAATCAACCTAAGCAGTGTGTTTGGGTGAACTCACTGACTTGTGAGCACCGTCGATCTGCTTCGTGCGGGTCTAGATCTGGTCACCGGCCGCTCCGGTGGATAGTGGAATGTCCAATTGGGACAATCCGGATTCGACGTGGTTGTTATGTCAATCACAGGATTACTCCATTTTAGGAGCGAATTATGACAATTTGTCATACTTCAACAGATTAGTCCCAACGATGGACGGATTAGTCCCTTCGAAGGACCAGGATTAATCCCTATAGGGATGGATTAACCCTTCGGGGTGTCTCACCTGTTGTCTTACCCAGGTCCGATCCTTACAGAATCACAGTTTGCAGTTCAAAAAACGTTCTGATTCTTTCACAATTCCGTTTTCAGTTGTTAAAATTTTCTCGCTGTTTGACATTTTTGTGACCTTTATATGTTTGCTTTTGAATGTCATGAACAATGTACCCAATATGTTGGCTCTGAAGCGACAGTTGCTGCAAGATGTCATTGTTTTAAACCTACATCCTTCAATGTTACAGGTGGTTGTTGTCTACTTCAATTTTATTGTTTTTTCTTTTTTTTTTTTCTCTTTTGCCTTCGTTTTCATATATGGACATTATCAATATTACCATGATACCGACCGGCGTAGTTCCGAAGTCCATGGGTCCCCCACCTCGTGATCCAATTCCTACTTGGGCCACACCAGCTAGCAGACGTACCACTGAAGATGTCAGTTTTCATTATCGGGGATTCACTGGCGAGTTTGAATTCAGAGTACCTCGCGGAGAGGCATCACTCATGGCACAACGTGTTATTCAGAATGATCAGGCTATTCAGATGCACAGTCTACAAGTTCAGGAACATCAATGCCAATTGGGAATACTTCAAGCTCAAAATCAATTTCATCAGCTTGGGATTATCTCTCAATTTGCCAATTTGACGCATGCAGGAAATCAAACAGGTTGGATACCTGGCTTACATTTGACCTTTCCCAATTCTTCGGGACAAATCGCGACATCAGTTACACCTGCTCTGACTGATCGGGTAACGACCTCAGAACGGCCATCGAAACGATTTCGCAGTGAAAATGTATTGGAACCTCCAAGATCGGAACGTGGTCCGGATCCCCTGGACAAGTCTGGTACGATTCCATCTCAGCTCGGCACTTTCGTACATCAGTGGGGAACTCAGAACTTCCAAAGCGATGTCGCTCCTGAAGTTTCTGCAGAGACTCAAACAAAATCAGTATGTTTCAAAATTGGACGACAACCAGAAAAGTTTATCTCTTCCAGTGTACTACAGATTATGGAATTTAAGCATCCACAATTGGAACACCTCGGACACCATTTGTGGGTGTCGCATCCACTGGCACGTTTTTCGTCCAATCAATTTGATGCAATACGACATGGAACATTGAAGGAGTTGGATTGGTGTGGACTGTACAGCACTGTATTGCGTTTACACTCAGATTTATACCAAAATCCACATCGAATTGCTGGAGGATTTGAGATGGGCAGACTTATTGAAGAACCACGTCAACAAAAATGGATTCCAGACATGCATCATTTTTGTCGAGCCAACGGCTATCAAACCTTCGATGAAGCCAAACGAATGAGTGGTTTTTGGTATGAATATGTCATACATGATTTGCGCACATGCTTTCCATCAGCCTTCATGAACTCACGAGCTGCTCATGTGGAGGAAGGAATCCAAATTTTGATTGCATCCTTGATGCAATATCCAGCCAACTCTATTTTGATAGAGGAATTTCAGATATTGATGTCTTCCACACAGACACCCTTGGCCATCCTAGCATCAGTGCAACCACCATATTTTCGAAGCACTCCCAAAGTCCAATTCAATCATCGTTTCCTTTTTGGCCATAACACTCAGGCTTTAGCTCTGTGTGACATTGTTCGGGAAGTATTTATTCGTCCTTCTAGTTGTGATCCCGCTGACAAATCATGGTTGCCACCTACTTCCTTTTATTGCCGAGCAGTCGTACCTAACCATGATGATTTTCACAAAAGTGATATGGAACGTTTGGTCAAGATGTGCGGAAAGTACGGCGGCGCCCTCAGTGATCGCCCTGTATGTATTCTTGGAGAAGCATTTTCGAGGCAGGAACATATTCGTACACCACAGGGTGGAGTTATGGCTGACCATATGATCACTATGGTAGCTGACTCAGCACATGGAGCGGACCAACGGTGGGCTTTCCGATCCCATCTTTCGAAGATCAAGTACGTCGCGGTGATCCTACATGAGAGCAAATTAAAATGATTAATCCATGGAGTATACATCTCCAGAAATCATGTCTTGGAGTCTTTATTTGGAGTATAAAAACAGTGCTGACTCAGATTTTTCGATTGTTAGCTTCGCGTGTGTGCATCGTTTTTCTGCCGTGTTCTTGTCCCCTTTTCTTTTTGCTTGTCCCCTTTTCCTTTTGCTTGCCTCCTTCTTCCTTTTTCCTTGCTTCTTCTGCATGCTACCTTCCCGCGGTGTCCTTCTCTGTGTTGCTTCTAAGTAATTTGTGCTCCGCAGCGTATTTATATAGGAGCTATGTTGCGTCAAAATTGCATCAATCGCCGACATATTTTCAGGAACGTTATGCTGATGAAGAATCTATGCGATCAGTTTTACATCACCGGTGTCTGTTCTGTTCGATGCATGTGGAACTTCATACTTTAGATTTTTCACAATGTGAATCTGACAATGAGAATTGACCTTGACCTTGTACAGTTCTACTGAGTTAACAGCATGTCAGTTCATTAAGTCACTGTGTCAGTGGCACTCATTTTCACACAAAGTTCTTCTGCGATTTTGTCTTTGACACTTCAGCAGGTTCAAGACATCAACTTATCGACTTTCCTACTCTTCCCCTCCTCATATAGACATGGGACGGAATTCTCGATC